CGCGATACAAGAAAAAAAAACAAAAGAGAGAAGGAGAGAAAAGAGGGCGGAGAGAGAAATGCAAAAAGGGAAATTACGGGTGGTAAAGCATACGAACCGTAAAGCGCCACCGCAAAATTCTTGCGGGAGATGAGCGTGACTATCGGCGAAACGTGTAACGTAATGAAACCAGTAATTAATACCGACAATTCATAACGCGGATCCCCCCTTCCCGAAAACATGGCGCTCCTGTTTATTTTTGTGGAATGTTACAGGAAAAAGAAATCCGTATGCGGTAATTATATACGCGAATGGGTTACTCGCGAGGCACGCATTTTGTTCGTTTGACACGTTAATTACTTGCGGCTAGTAAGCCGTAATTTCAGGAGATATCGTTTCCCCTTTTCGTCCCTCTTCTTTTTTAAGTGTTACGATCTAAAAAATTAATAATGAGGATATTACGTGTTTTATTACAACACGATAACGTTATTCGTTGTATCATTTTGGATATATTAATATTGATTGATAATAACGAAACGCTAATCATTTTCGCGTAATACACCGGTTATAAATTTATCGCAAGTTCGATATTACTTCCTGATATTTTAATCAGTAGTCTCCGACTGCAAAAGCAATATTGTTATCAAGCATGTGCCGTGCTTGTTAATATTTAAATTGAGTCTTTGGTAGCCTTGGGCGCAAAAATACATTGTATCTTTATAAATGTTGCGCTATAAAATAAATTAGACAGCCTCCGCAAATTAAAGGATACAGCAGACTTTTTTTTCATTGTTTTTTTTTATGTATCATATATCCGTGCTTATATATATATATATATATATATATATATATATATATATATATGACGATATAAAAAATTATTGCAACCTTCAATTCGCAAGCAACGAATAATCGAACGCGTTATCATTTGCGCAAAGTGCACCCGCCGCGCTCTCGGCTTGGAAGTTCAAAAATATCAGCTCCATTTTCGTAACGGAAAAGAGGTAAAATCGAAGTTCCGAGCGTCTAAGTTATGTGGGTGCAAGACGAATAAACCTGATAATCGCCGCTTCGTGTGCGCTGCGATAAATTTACTTTATCGGTCGAGGCATGTATTATCGTCTCTGTAATAGAATACACACAACGAGCGCGCGCGCGATGGGAATCCCTACATAGAAATCACATCCGCGGGACATTCACAAGGAAATGATCTTTCACAGTCTGATAAATAAATATAATAGTCTGACGCTCTCCCGGAAGAAAACTACGCAAGATCCGCATTTTCCATTGGGATATCAAAATTTGCCTTTGTAAAAAGGAGACAACGTTTGGATACGCTCGGTGAACAAACTCATCTCACGTGAAATCGACCAGCTTAATGCTCAGTTCGAGTTTTTCAAAACAGACCGAAGAAACTTTCATATTCTGAATCAACAAAGTCGATTCTTGCGATTTTCACTCAAATCTTTGCACATATCGAATATTATTAAAAATTATAATACAGTTTTAATAGTCCGGGAATAGACTGGCACTATTACAAAAATTATAATAAAGTAAAAATAACAATTTTTACTACATTTATGGTAATTTTTACTATGTTTATGGTTATTTTTACTATGTTTTATTATAATTTTTATCATAGTGCCAGTCTATTCCCGAACTACTAAAATTATATTGTAATTACTACAATATTCTCTCCGTTTCTTTATCAAAATTACTATAGGTGGATATAACAAGTTTTGTCAGCATATCAACACGTAATTACAACATCATGAAAAATTATTCAAAATACATCAGACAAGTCGTGAAAAATATATGTCAAGAAACACAATAAATAAATAGTCACAATTAATCATGAAAAATAGCTGCAATGGGCAAAGCCGGATTTAATTAAATATAAGTGGCAGTATAACGGTTGAAACGTACGTATCGCGCTGGAACGCGAGCGGATTTCAATGCTGCGCTGTTATTCCGCGAGCGGAAGGGATGAAAGGGTTAAGGTTACCATTACGTTTAACCGTGAACTATGAATTACGGTTGTCAGGCAACGAGGAAGGAATCCGTTATCAGTCCGGTGAAATACGCATATGGAGATGGAGACTGTGTTCACTAATTCATACGGCAGTAAGGCCGGTCCATATTTTGCATTCCGTGAAAATGGATTTGTCTGTTTGCGTGCACACACGTATGCGCGCATAACGCGGCAGCATTTCGCTCCCATATGCGCACATACACGCAACGGATAAGCGCGACATAAGCGCGCTACGTGTTTCCTACGTGGATGCACGCTTAGTTGAGATTTCGCGTGCGCATTCGCTGCAGCCGGTGTTCCTTCCTACGCGCCTCGATCAAACGTTGTCGCGCTTTATCGAGCTTTCAGCAAATCGCGAGATGCGCACAAATCGCACATAAATCGTATATCCCGAATCGAAATTTCAATCACATTTTGCGCCTGAACTCTCTAACATGTTCTGAAGGATCAGTGCATAGAAACTGAAATCCTACTTAATGCTCCTAAAACACACAGAATACTATATGTACTATATACGGAGAGAATATTTTTTCTTTTCTCATGTAAATCCTTTTAAATTTTACTATATTTTTTTACTATGTAGTCTAAGAATAGACTGTCAATATGATCTATCTTGTTAAGGAATACGATAGATTTTACTACAAACACAACAAATTTCGCTGGAAACACAACGAGTGTTTTAATAGTACATTTCAATTCCTAAAATATAGAAATATCACATATGAAATGAAAAATAGCGAATTACTGCAAAATGTCGATCTATTTCTTGAATACAAAGTCCTATAGTAAGCGAAAATCGAAGGAAATTTTGATATTTAATAACACGATCGAAGCGATATTGATGAACGAGGTGATGAAAGAAGAGAATAATTATACTTTATACAATGTCGCGCGTAATACAGTTTCAACAATATTATGCCATATTTTCGTGCGATATATTTTATCAGCTCTCCCGCTTCGTAATATTACGCAAGATACAAAAAAACGCGCAAAGTTAAAATTATCGCGCAACTCGGCTGATCAATTAATAATAATTTTGCTCATAGCAATGTTTGCTATGCAATTTTCTCCATGTTCTAAAGAGACCTCTCGACAAAGTTAGTAGGTTAAATAGGATAAAAAGAGATTAATGTACGCTTCAGAATATCAAAACAGGCGTTAAATGAAATATTGAGTATGATGAAAATTTCGACTCGGACTGCTGCAAGGACATTCGCTTCCGTGAGCGAGTCGAGAAAACGCGAGAATCTTGTCCGATATGTTACGGGTGTTTTCTACTTGCGGGCATTTTTGCGACGCGTTACGACAAGAACTCGTTGATCCACAGGCTTGCCGGTGGCAAAAAAACTCCGACGCGAGAAGTAATCACGGGCTACGCACATTGGAGGTCGCAATGACTTTTGGGAATTTTATTTTCGAACTTCTTTGTAGTGTATACCGCGCGTTTTCGACAAGTCACGCTGCGGCAAGCTACCAACGTTACTGTAAATGGCTGATAATTAACGAAGGAGGACGAGAGAGAGACAGTAATTTGAGATCTCTTTTAAATATATAGTCGTGATCATTCAATAGACCGTATTAATAAAAAAAACAGCTCACCCTCGGAATCCCTCCTATTTGGAAATAAATTTGCATTATCTTTGAAATAATTGTATCGATGTTGAAATATATAAATTCGTATAGCTTTTTTATCCTGCGAAGAAGCTTCCACGAAAAATACGCGTTGCTAAACGACAATATTTTACAACGGAGCAATTAGCTCGCGCTTCACAAGGAGAACTTTCCGCAATCGCAATCGATCGTGTGTATCCCAATTAAAATGTGCGCCAAAATGGGGATATTTATCAAACCGTTACACCGCCACATTGCTATTCGCTATTTGATTCGCGCAGCTTGCCTCAGTGAATCGTAAACATTACGCCACCAAAATAAACAACAAGCGTATTCGATTCACCTTAAAATATATATGAGAGAGAGATGAGAGAGAGAGAGAGAGAGAGAGAGAGAGAGAAGGAGAAATATCAACCGTTGCGACAAGAGAAGGTTAACAAACGATTGAATAGTCGAACAACATAATTACCAAACAAGATTAACGTAACTGACATAACTAATCTATTGTGCAAAAATAAAAATAATCGAAGGAAATCGCGGAATTTTGATATTTTAATAAAGCGATCGAGGTGATATTGACGAATGATGCGATGAAAAAAGGGATTAATTGCACTTTGTATAATGTCGCGCGTAGCATACAGTTTCAATACTATATTATGCTCCAATACTATATTATGTTTCAATACTATATTATTTCCGTGCAATTTATTTTGTCAGTCCTCCCGTTTCGTAATATTACGCAAGATACGAAAAACCGCGAGAAACACACGCAAAGTTAAAATTATCGCGCAACCCGGCCGATCGATTAATAATAACCTTGCTCATCGAGCTCTTGAGTTTGTATTAACACGGGAGCAATTAAAAATATCTCACGAAAGTAACCATCAAATCACTCCATCTTACGTGAATCTCGATGTCACACTATCTGTCGAAGACAGCTGTATTCCAACTGTACTGACGGATGAGCATGTACGTCTTATATTAACATAACCTACGGCATCCTTTTTTGAATTCACAATGTCTGCCGAAATTTGGCGCCGCCAAAGTTCGGCGCGTCAGAGCAAAAACACGTCGTACCGTTAGATAAAAACGCCGTGAGAATCATCTCTCTCTCCCTCTTTCTCTCTCTCTCTCTCTCTCTCTCTCTCTCTCTCTCTCTCTCTCTCTCTCTCT